AAATGATGATATAAAACCTTAATAAAAATACACTTTTAAGTACTAATCAGGGGTTGGTTTAGATGTGTTCTTATCATTGTTTTCGTATATCTAAAATCCATTTTACCCCTCCCTCCAGCTCCTTAAGATAATTTAAAAATAATTGTGTCACTGCCGATTCAAGAAATCGGCAGGGAAAAATGCATTTCTGTGAAAACTGCATTGCTGCCCATTCAGGGAATCGGCAGCAAGACTGCACGCTGCTGATTCATGGAAACGACAGCAAAAACTGCATCACTGCCCATTCAGAAATCGATAGTGAAACGCCATCGCTGCCGATTCAGAAATCGACAGTGAAAACTCCATCCGTGCTTATTCAGAATCGGCAGCAATGGTAGAGTCATCAATTCTCTCTCTCTCTCTCTCTATATATATATATATATGTATATGTATATATAATAAAGGATATAACCTGTGATTAGATCAAGTCTGATACCAATTGATGCGAATCCTAACAGAATTTAATTGTAAATGCCCAAAGGAATATATATATATATATAAAGGAGGCTTGATCTTGAAATCTTGATTATTGCCACACAAAGAAAAAAAGAAAAAAAGAAATAAAAAACACTTTTTTCTTTTACTTTGGCTGAATACATGTTTGAGAAAACCTTAATCATTGGGAAATTGGTTAGTCTTGATTCGTGAATCTTTTAGTAGTCTTGTTTGTGTTTCTTGAAAATTGGGGTAGTTTAGTTGATTTTCTTGAGTTTTTGGAATTTTCTTGAATTAAATCCTTAGTTCTTGATAATTCATAATTATTTAGCTCTTTCTGATTTTTTTTATTTCGTGTCTTCAAATCGTCATATTATTCATACAAATTTGCATTGCTATTCGTGAATTAGTCATCAAGTTTTGTTTTGTTAGTTTTGTAATTTCTTGCTTTTGGAGTTTATATCAAATTTATAAATTCACTGCATAGTTGGTTGCTTTTTTTGAATTGTTGCTAAGTGATTTCAAGAACTAAAGAAAGGCTAGTTGAGGGGAAAAGGGCACAGGGAGCATGTAAACACCCAAAAGAAAAAAAATATATATATATATATATATATATATAGACATAACTGATGACTCAGTTTCCGCTGCCGATTTCTTGATCAGCAACGACGCAATTTCCGTTGCCGATTTATGTATCTGCAGCGAAGCAGTTTTCACTGTCGATGTCTGCATCGGCAACGACGTAGTTTTTTCT